TCACATATTGCACTGGGCAAATCTGCTGCAAAAAGCCTCTTTAAAGTGTTAAGGAGCAAAGGTGTCACTTTGAAGACGAAGGTGCACCTGACCCAAGCCATGGTATTTTCAATCGTCTCATATGCATGTGGGAGCTGGACAATGAATAAGAAAGACTAAAGAAGAATTGATGCATTTGAATTTTGGTGTTGACAGAGAATACTGAATGTACCCTGGACTGGTAGAAGAATGAACAAATCTATTTTAGACAAAGTACAGCTGGAATGCTCCTTAGAAGCGAGAATAGGCAGACTTCATCTCACGTACTTTGATCATGTTGTCAGAAGGGACCAGGTCCTGGAGAAGGATATGATGGTTGGTAAAGTAGAGGTTCAGTGAAAAAGGGGAAGAACCTCAATGAGATGACTTGGCACAGTGGCTGTGACGATGGGCCCAAGCATAGCAATGATTGTGAACATGGCTAGGACTGGGCAGTGTTTTGTTCTCTTTTACATAGGGTTACTATGAGTCACAACCAACTCGATGGCACCTACCAACAGTCCACTCTTGCAGACATTGTATATTTTGAGTGACTTCCAAGCTCACCTTTCAGCACTATATCAGACAGTATTCCATAGGAAACCAGAGGGTTTTCATTGGCTAATTTCAGAAGTAGATTGCCAGGCCTTTCTTCCTACTCTTAGTCTGGAAGCTCTGCTGAAACCTGCCCCATAGGTGACCCTGCCAGTATTTGAAATACTGGTGGCATAGCCTCCACCATCACAGCAACACCCAGACCACTACAGCATGACAAACAGACGAGGGTGGATAGGGCAGATAGGGGGCAGAGGAGGTGTGTTTCATGTTTGCCCCAACTGGAATCTTTGAAGGGAGGTTGCCACTAGAGAACTCTGGAGGGAGGCTGGGCAGGTACTGGGAGCATCAGTGGGTGGGTCATTCTCTGAGCATGTGGCACCCAGGGTGTGTGTGTGCCTCAGCTTCCTCAAAGGGGCTCAGCCTGCTCAGCCCCTTGGCTGGGGACTAAGGACTGGGAGGCCATTCCTGTGTGCCAAGGCACATCTGCCCCCCCCACTGGGGCAAGGCCTGGGGCTCAGCCCCATTTTGCAGACATACCCTGAAACCAACAAGGGCAGGGATGGTTCAGCCAAGGACAGGAGGCCCTGCAATGGTGAAGTATGGTCCCCAAGAACTACTGGGGTATAAGTTTGGGGTGGGGGATAAGTTGCTGCTTTCTAGGGTACTGGGGCCCCTTGGGAACTCTACTGGCATAGTTCCTAAGGCATCTGACTGCTAACCAGAAGGCTGGAGGTTCAAACCCACCAGCCACTCGGAAGACTGGGCAATCTACTTCCGTAGAGATACCACCTCGGGAACCAAGGAGGGGTCACTATGAGTCAGATTCGACTCAACGGCAATGAGCTTGGGGTTTTGGTTTTTGTTTCTGTTTGTTTGTTCTGAGGCCCCCTTCCTTCTGCATCTTCCGTAGCCCAAGCCCCAGGCAGCTCACTAGGTCATAGTGTGTGGAGAGGGTGGACAAACAGGTGGTCCAGTGAGTGGGTGAGCGCTCTCAGTGGGGTTCAGGTTTGGGGTGGTCAGCAGGACATTGGTGGTCTGGACAGCTGCTGAGGTTAAGATGGGTGCAGTCTTGGAGCGTCCTGGGCAGAACCAGGAGTGACCCCAGTGAGTATCTCTCCTGGACTTGTAACATGGAAGGGAGGGTAAAAAGTCATCCTGTGGCAGTCAGTGACCTGGCTCTGAGTCAGTCATGCTGGGTTTGAATTCTCCCTGTATCGGGGTCCTGTCTCAGATTCTGTGCTTCCTCCCTCTGTGCCTCAGTTTGCAAACTGGAGAGATCTGGGCTACTTCCTCAAGTACTAAATGACGTGATTCATGACTCTTCCTTGGTGCCTTGTCAGTGCAGACAGTGGTCCGTGCACAATGACTGCTTCACCCCTGGTGGAATCCACAGCCCCAATAAACATGTGCCCCCAAATCGTGCCCTGACAGTTTTGATGGAGGGAGGGGTCTGGAGCCCGGACAGGAAATGGGAAAGTGGTGAGCAATCCATAGAGATACCAATGACATCGAGAGGAGGACAGATGCAGCAGTGTCCCAGCTGGCTTGGGGCCTGCTGGCTCACCCTGGGCTGACATCTGGGCTGGGCAGGAGGTGGGCTTGGCTCTGCACATGCCGTTCTGAGCATTTGATCCAAGTCCTCGGGACATGCAGGAAGGCTGAGACCTGGGCAAGTGGTTGAGTGTGCATGACCTCCACACTGACCCACGCCAGCCCCACCCCCCAGCAGCCCTACCAGGCAGAGGTAAGCTACCAGCAGTACCAGCTGTCACCGCCGCGACTCTGGGGCGGTTACTGCGCCTGCCCAGTTCACTGTCCTTACTGTTACTTCTGGTAGGCAGGCAGCACCTCAGAGACCTTCTGTGGGGCGGAGGCTGCGCGTTCTGGCCGGCGGTGGTCCCGCGCTGGGAGCCCCCAGCGACACACACACCTGGTCGTTCCACAGCCGCGCGGCGCGGGGAGTGAGACCCAAATTGGTACCAGCCGAGATGGCCGCCCCCCGAGCCGCCCCCGCGCCCCGCCAGCGGGCACGCCAAAAGCTCCCTCCTGCACGATGGCGCGGGCCAACCTGCTGCTCGCCATCAAGGGCAAGATGGGCCCAGAGGTTGGCTTCGGCCTGGTAGGAGTTGCACGGGTTAAGCCCTGTTGTTGCCAGTGCACTGCGGGGGCTTCGTGGGCAGTGGGCCAGGTAGGGGGGCGGCGGCGGGAGCCGGCCTGGGAGTAGAGCCCTTGTCCAGACCCGGGCATGCAGAGCACTTGGCCTGGAAGAGCTTTGCATCTCTGGCCACTTTGCCTCCTGCACTTAAGTGTTGCTGCACTGGCTGCCTCCTGCAGGCTGTCGGGGCAGAGGACAGAACCTGACTCCCAGAACCCTGACTCAAGCTGCCCAGTCTCCCACTGTGTCTCCTGCCAGCCTGGGGAAGCCGGTGCCACACCCCCAAAGGGGATTCACAGCAGGACTGCAGGTAAGACGAGGAAGAGGAAGGGACAGGGTACCTTGCCAGGTGGCCCCTGCCCCATCCCACCAGACAACCCCTCACATGGTGGTTCCAGAGGCCACTGGGTAAAAGCAGGCATGGGGGTCCCATTTAAAAGGGGAGCAGTGTGAGGCCCTGAGATGCTGGGGAATTTGCTGAGCCTATGGTCTGTGTGCAATGACTGTGTCACCCTTGGTGGGATCTGGAGCCCCAATAAACATGTGCCCCCAAACCATGCCCTGAGAGTTTTGATGGGGGGTGGGCAGATTGAGGCTGGGTGTATGGGCTGGGATAGGCAGATGCAGGCTTTGCTTTCATGAGTCTCCTGAGTCCCTGCGGAGCCTTACTGGGTAGGGGCTGCCCCAGGGCAGCACCTGGTATGGGTGGTGGCCGGGATGTCAAGGTCTGTGCTGTAAAGGGAGCTGGCCCTGGGCTCAAGGTGGAGAGCGCCATCCCCTCCCTGCCTCTCCTAGCTCACAGGGCCTATGAGTCCAGGACAGAGAGCTGTTGTTGCTGTTATGTGACGTTGAGTCGGCCCTGACTCATAGTGACCCCTCCTTGGGTTGCCGAAGCAGTATCACTATGGAAGTAGATTGCCCAACCTCCTTCTGAGGAGTGGCTGGTGGGTTTGAACGGCCAGCCTTGTGGTTAGCAGTCAAGTGCCTTAGGCACTATGCTACCAGAGAGCAGCTCCTCCATTTCATCGATGAGGACACCAAGGCTTGGCTTGCAGCAGTTAATACTGAGCCAGCACCTTCCATGCGTGCCTGCCAGGAGCAGCCCCCGGTGCTTTGGGGTGGGGGGGCAGATGAATCAGACCTGCCCCCAGTGCTGGCGTAGTTGTGTGCAGGGAGCTGGGCCTGGGAAAGAGGTGGGCTGGGCTAGGCAAGAGAGAACAGAGTATCCTGGGAGTAGGAAGATGGGCAGGGGTCCTCCAGGCCAAGGGAGCACTGGAGGCCAGAGCCAGGGTGTGTGTGCATGAGTGTACATGAGTGTAAGGGTGTAAGAGTGTGTGCTTAAGTGTATGTGCATGTGTGGGTCTGAGTATGTGTGCAGCATATATGTGCATGTGTGTAGCGTGTGTGCATGAATACGTTCACATGTATCTGTGTGTATTGCGTTTGTGGGTGTCTGCGAGTGTGCATGAGTGTGTACCATCCAGCCTGGAGTGGGCATAGTTTGGAGGAGACAGGGCCTAAGATGACAACACCAAGGGTGTCAGGGTGTGTCTTGCCAGCCTCTCCTGCCCGTCCCCCATGCCTGCTCCTCAGCACAGCAGGGGAGGAGGCTGCTGCCCAGTGGTTATTGCCATTTGCCAGAGGACACTGCTGAGGCTCAGAGGTTAAGTGCTTGTCCAGTCTACACACAGCTCATGCAGGCTGGCTGCCGGCAAGGCCCGGGGGACCAGATTCCTCTTACTCCATCTTCTCCCTGGATGCTGTAGGGTGCGGTGATCCCAAGGCTCTGGTGACAGCAGTGGGCTTGGCTTCCTGCAGGCACCACAAGGATGGCAAGTCCTGCCTAGGCTGCATTTAGGCCCAAAGTGCAGCATGGGAGCCACGGCACAGGGCTGCCGCCTCCAGGAAGCCTTCTCACACCCACTTTTGCACCCTGCAGCCTTTGCACCAGAACAGGACACCTCAGTTCCCAGCAACCCCTGAGGTGTGGGATCATTGTCTGCCTCATTTCGCAGATGCAGAAACTGAGGCAGACGTAAAACAAGGGAGCTGAAGGCCTGCGGTCCCACCCCCACCCCCACGCTCTTCTCACCAAGCTTTAGTTTCAAGCTGCAGGATTGGGTCTACTGGGATGAACTCTAAGTAGCCAGGGCTGGTTCCTGAGCAGAGGAGGACTTGGGGGTTTGCTTTTGAGGATCATGGGTCTGACCAGGGGAGCCCAGAGCAGGGAGGTGGGTGCCTATGTCAGACTGAGCAGCCCCTGAAGCTACCCCATCCTGCATGCCCAGGGCCAGCCAGGGTCCT